GAACAATGGCGTTTATGTAAAGAAACTGAATAGTTCTATGCATAGTTCAATGATAAAACCTTTATAACTTTAGCTTTTGCTCTTTATGGTAAAATTTCTCTGCTCCTTCATTTCCTGCAGAGAAAGTCTAAAAGGAATGATGAAGGATGCCTGGCAGTTCTCTGAGAAGGTTGAATATAATGCAATCAAGGCTTTGCCATTCGGAGCAAATAGTTAATTTTTTATGCTTTTCACAGCCCCTTTGGATGCCTGCATTCTGATTCTTTCCACGTCTCTCGCATTCTTGTGGGAGAAGTCAAGACGTTTAAGTGTGAAACTGCATCAATCACACACAATCTGTATTCTGATTTCCTAAGGTTAGAATGTGCGTCACCGCATCAGATGATTACGAAGTACAAGTTAATAAAACCATTTATGTCGTTGTGAGCAGAGAGCTCATCCTAGTATTTAATCTTCTGATTTAATTCCAGAGAATGTGCAAAAAGTATCCTAGTTTAAGTCCACCTCATTCAGTTCTCCCACAGTTTACCTTAAAAGAAACCATTTTCAATGAACTAAAATAAAACAAAAGACAAGAATTTATATATTCATTTTTTTAAATCTTTACTTATTTTTTACACACCAGATTTTATCCCCCTTCCTGTCCACCTTCCAATTGTTCCATATCCCATACTTCCTTCCCACCCCATGTCTCCACGAGGATGTACCCACCACTCACCTCCCACCCAACCAGACCTCTAAACTCCCTAGGCCCTCTCTCTAGTCTCTTGAGGGTTAGGTGCATCTTCTCTGACTGAATCCAGACTCAGCAGTCCTCTGCTGTATGTGTTGGGGGCCTCATATTGACTGGTGTATGCTGCCTGGTTGGTGGTCCAGTGTCTGAGAAATCTTCAGTTGACTTCTTGAGACACCTCATACTGAAAGGATCTGTGGCTTCTGAGAAGAATTCTTTCTTAGAGAATGTTATCAAGGTTCATCCACACTGTAGCAAGTTACAGTATTTCTCTCCTACTGAAGGCTAGATAATATTTGTGACTCTATAGAATATTTATTCATATCCCTTCATTTGTCAAAGTCTACTTGGTTGCTTCCATTTTTTGAGCTACTGAAGCTATTAGTGGTATGAGCATGTGTGTGCAATTCTTTCTCTATGATCTGACCTCATGTCTTCTGATGGGCATTGCTGAGCCAATGATAAATCTATTCTTTTTTGCTTTTGAGAAATCACTTCTTTACATTCTCTATGGAGTTTGAGGATCATAATTCCTTTATGTACTTCCTGATATCTATAACTATATGTGTTTTTGAAGATAACTATCAGATAGTAGTCATCCTAACCATTATGAGGGCTTGCCTTGCTGTAGTGTTAGTGTGTATTTCTCCAGTAATTGGCAGTATTGTTTACCATTTTTCATATTTAATGTAAATACTAATATTTAAATTTCTAGTACTCTTCAGTCAGAGAAGACAAAATGTTTGTCTTGTAGTCACCATAACACTAAAAAAAAGCCATGGGGAACTTGATTTATTTTGGTAAAATGCTATGACACACAAGCTTAGGTCAAAATATATTAGTATTCTGCTAAAGGTTCCAAGTTAGTCTAGGACTTTAAGAAAAACTAATATTTGTTAATCTTCCGTCTTTTTCTCTAGCTCTAGGATTAAATTTTCTTGTCTTAAAATCTCTCTCAAATAGCCGTAAGCTCCTGTTCTCAAAGGCTTTATTAAAAGTCACTATGAAGAAAATGCATATCCTTTCACTCTAGTGAGATGCACACAAGAAACAAATACTGTGTAGCTTATGTGTTTGTGGTACGGAACTAAGCCCAAAGTCTTATCCTCTGCCAATGAGCTATATCTCTAGCCTAATACATTGTTTTAAAAATACATTATCTGAAAGCTATTGTAAACAATTCCTCCAATGAACGTTTCTGGGGCTTCTCTAAGGCCATATTTAGGACTCTTCATTTAACAACCTTACTCAACACTGATCCTGCCTCAGGTACTGGGATGTCAAAAGTAAAGGAGGTCATTCCCAGCCTAAAATATCTCAGTCTAAAGAGAAGAGCACACAAGAAGATCAACAGGTCTGATACAGAATTATTAGCATGTGTTCATCGAGAACCAATCAATAAGTGGGCAATAATTTGTCCAGTCTCTCATGAGAGAATAAAAATATTGAGATGGTGATGATGTATACAAATCAGGTGAATAATTAGGACACTTTCAAAGTATTTTAAGATATCAAATTTATAGTAAAATCTTGATTGTGGTTCACTTATTCATGTCTCCAATGTTTGAATGGATTTACATTGTAAATGCTATCACATCTTACTTATCTTTTTTTTTATACACACAAATGAGCTATGCTGTTTAAGCTGCCCATCTTTACAACTGCAGTCTTACACGGTCTTTTTCTATTCATTTACTTGGCATTAAATTTGGGTGGTGGTGTTGCACAGACAGGAAAATGAGTAGTCTATAAAACAGAGTAACATCGTGAGGAGCTTTATGCATTCTGTTGCTGTCCTTGCCTGTTTTGATTTGGGTTTTCAGAGACAGTGTCTCACTGTGTAGCCTACATTGGCTGTAAATGAACTATGTAACCCAAGCCGTCCGTCCTCAAGAGGATCTGCCTATTTCTGCTTCGTGAGTTTTGGCATCAAACGTGTATACCATCACACCTATTTTTTAAAGAGTTGAGTTTTTGTTCAAGACCCTAATATCCTTGGGAAGTTACACTGTCTTGTTCATTTGACTTAAAGATGTTGACTGGAGAGAGGATGTCACAGTGCCATGACAAACTTACTAAACATGCACAAAGGCAACATCCAGCACTGACTAAAAAAAAAAAATGAAAAAAATAAAAGCATTATCCATCATTCTCAATAGATAGAAGAGTCTGCTTAATGTTTAGGTTATGTCTCCACGTTTCAAATGAGCAGCAAGGTGATGTTATGTTGCTCCTTTTGGATTTTGGGGGGAGAGATGACATCTCCTGAGTGAAATGTTTTTCAGGTACTGATATCAAATTGTCTCTGATAGGATACATTCTGATGAAGTCATCAAGCACCTGTTATTGTGCATTTGAGTTCTAAGTACACGGAGATGAACAGATCCCAGATAATTTTACAAAGGAAATACCATTAGCATAGTAGTCTTCAGTATAAACAGAAACAAGAATTAGTTGCTCATTTAGTCTAAGTGATTTGGTTATGGGGAATATTAAATGTATTATACTCTCTCTGGAAGACTTGGTGCAGATTGATCATACACACACACACGCACACACACACACACACACACACATACTTGATGGCCCTCCTTTTACTTCTGACATGTGATGTTTGTTGACATTGTGCTGGATAAGTTAAATAAGTATACAGAACAAGAAGGGCTATTAATCTCATGGTGTGTCCATGTGGCACAGAGCCGGAGTGTAACCACTATGTAACCACAGCGCTGTGAAATGTGTCCCCAAGTCACAGAATTCATGCTTTCTACAGGATAGAAGTCTCACCAAAAGTGCAAGTGAATTAAGTGAATAGACTCTGTGTCCTCTGCTGGCTATCCTAGTTATTAATGGAGAAAGAATCATTTCCACATTAGGGGAGTAAGTACAACCCCAAAATACTAATTAGCTGTTCTCCTATATGGAGGCTGTAATATGACACTCAGTCTTCTATATCATATATGCTAAGGAGAACTTTTCAACATTGATATATCATTAACCTTAAGCTAAGTGACATTCAGATGACATTTATGTGGAAAGAATGCACAAATGTCATTATCAACCTCTCCTGCATACTATGGTGAATGGAGTGAGATTTATATTGCTTTTATTTAGAAACATGAAATGTTATTCTAATTTGACTCACGGATGTTAACGATTTTACTGTTAGCATTAATTTGTTTTCTTTTAATTATACAATTACTACATTCATTTTCCTAAGTAAAACAGAAAAATACCTCAATTGCCAGATGTCGATGATATGTTCTTAGGGTATTAATGTCTGGTCTCGTTAGGTTTCTGGTTTTGGCTTGTAAAAGTTTATGGACTCGGTATTTTGTTGTTTATGTTGGGGAATTTCACGGGCACGATTTAAAGATATGGTTACCATTTTCCATAGATGATTTCTGCCAACCTTTGTCCCTCGTGATCATCATGACGGATGTTTTCCGTGTGTGCTTGTGAGCTCTGCAGCTCTGACGGGTTTAGCCTCTTCTTCCAAAAGAATTAACCAAATACCTGCTGCATGTTTTCTCAAAAAATATTTTTTGTTCTTTATCTTTGAAAGCTCGTGTTTATCTAGAGAAAGTCTGTGACTCAGTAAGACTTAGTTTATATTTTTGAAAAATATTGACATGAACTGTAATGCTAAGCGTCTTCAAAAGGTAGTGTTGTCTGATGACTCTGAATATTTAATAAAGAAGGAAAGTTTGTGAGGCTAACAGTATTGTCCACAAAGAAGACACAGACACTTGTGCTTCTTCTCTTCTTTAATACCACCCCATCTTCTCCATCATGGGAAATCTTAGATTAAAACATTACCTCAGTTCTGTGATTCTCCCACATTGTTCTCCGGGTATCTAGGTTGCTCCCAGAGAAAAATGAGATTAAGGGAAACAACTTTGAAAAAATATTTTTATTCTGATATAGGCAGAAAATTGGTCATAGTTTATACTGTTTTTCCAATATTTTTTGTCCATGTTGGGTACATAGCTCTCTTGTGAGTGGGTAAAAGGAAGGAAACAAAAATTTGGGGAGAGAGTCCGAAGTCCACTCTTCTTACTGATAGAACCACAAGTCAAGCCACAGAGCTCAGATTGCGACCCTCACACTACACCAAGTTAAGTGGCAAGGTATTTGAGTTTTTTGTGTTTGAAGTTGTCATGGAGACCTAGCCTAAAGGGTCACTTCCCATCACTTACCTTGGAGTCAATAGGCAGACGGGAAATTTATTTTGCCATGCCAACTTTTTGTTTTTGTTTTTCCCTAGCTGCAGATGTTTTTTGAGACATTCCTGAGGACCAGTTCACCTCTACAAGCACTGGGAAGCATGAGAGAAGCCATTAGCAAGCTCCTGTTGGTAGCTGAGGTGCTTAGTGACACATCTAGTCTGGGACCAAAGACCTTCCATAGGTGAGAGAGATGCAGACAGAGACAGAGATAGGCAGGAAAGGAGGGAGGGAGGGAAGGGGGGAGGGAGGGAGGGGGGGGGGGAGGAAGGGAGGGAGGAGGGGAGGGAGGGAGGGAGGCTCTAAAATTTATTAGTTAAAAAACTTAATTATTGAAAGTAAATAGTACTTGGAAGATTGTATGTCAATACATTGTAATATAATCTTTTAAACATGCATGGCCTTATTTACAGATTCTAAAACTTCAGAGTTTGTTACATGCCATTTTTTGTATCCAAATAGTGAGTAGAAATAAAATATAGGGTTTATCATCACCACCACCATCATCATTATCATTTTTTTTCAACAATCTTACTTTGCAACCTACACTAGCCTCAGATTTATGATTCTCCTGTCTCCACTTCCTAAGTTCTGGGTCTACAAGATTATGCTTGGATCCTAAAGTCAATTTGAAATTGTAGCCCCCTTTAATGTATTTTCATCAAATATACTAAGTATCAACTGCGTACAACTTTACCTAGACATAATGCGCTTTGGTCTCAGTTGTCCTAATGATTTCAAAATGCTGAGAAAGAAACAAGAGCTTTTGACGACAAAATTTGGTCACTTCTATTCTCAGACCTCAACTTCTTTGACTATAGCTTATTTGCTTTATTCTAAGGAAATGTTAACCCTAGTTTTCCAAAAAGAGAGAAGTGTTCATTCTCACACTTTCTGCACACGTTCACGTTAGCAATGGCTGTCTTGGAGACAGCTCCCCATATTAAGGTTCTCATGGAATAATTGCCATAGTGTATCATAGAAAATGGAGGCCTACTTGCATTTTCCTTCCTGAACAAAGGAGATTCAAACCCACAATCCATTTCACATAATTTCCTATCATGCATGCCACTGATCTTTTAACTTATTGAAATTTAATGGTATCAATTATTAACAATGTTATCATAGTAGAGTAAGTGTAGCAAAGAGACTATAATGTCCTGTTACCTTCTGATTTTTCCTTCCAGATGTAGACAGTGTTTTCAGCTTTTAACTTTTGATATTGGTTATGGAGATTCGGGATATCCTGTGGTGCTCCAGGTGAGTAAGCAGGATGAAGTGTGTGTTTTGGGGGGTGGGAGCATGTTTCAACAGTTACAGTTGGTTAATAATAACTCGCATCGCAATCAGTACAGGCTTATGCACCCATGGCTCTAACAAATGGAGAACTCTAATGACCATTTCGGACACACCAGACAAACCCAAGGTTTCCTATAGTTTCTCCGAATTCATGAACAAAGATGGTATTGATTCAAGAATGTGTTCATGGAGAAAAGCAGAACATATCGATAATAGCAAACAGAAGATGACTCAGGGACTTGCGTGGTGTCATAAAGAGATAACTCTGTCCTTGGTCTGAATTTTAATTAAGAAATCCATGGGGACTAGACAGGCTGCTCAGTGGTAGAATTCCTGCCTTGACTGCACTAGGTCATAGGTTTCATCCTAGCAATACAAACAAACTATTTTTAAATTTTAATTCAAAAGCATAAAAAGCCCTGTGTATTTTAAAAATATTTTCCTGGCACATGTATATATAAATGTGAGCTTTTTTTTCCTTAGGTTGCTTTGAGTTATAACTCTCTCAGATCACCTCTCGTCAGCATCTTTTTCTTCTAAGCAGCCTTCAGTGGTAAACATTTTAAAAATTGACTCTGTTAATTTATTTAAAAAGCTATCTATTGGATTATAAAGTGGGAAGGAATGGGGAACAAAATAATTTAATGGGTAACCAGAGTTCAACTCCACCAGTATTTATTTTTTCCCAAACTATAATATTTGCAGCTTTGAAATTCATCTATAAAATGTTCAATCTTATGAAATCTTTAAATGGTCATTCACTTTTTAAAACGCGTGTTTTGGAAAAGACATCATGTACTATTTCCCGTGGAGAGATATAAAGAGTTTCAAGATAAACAAATGCATCCTTGAAATGGCCCACGCTCCTTCTCTACATTTAAAGAACGGCGTCTTCCCTCATCAGAAACGGTCCTCAGGTTTACAAAACTGTTAGCCTCCAGAAGACCACTAGATGGCAGGTCTGGTCTACAAGCCAACCTGAACTAAATCAGGCCTTAAGAGTTCCTTTCACTGTACTGTCTCTACCTCTCTTCCTTCAAAGGTACATGAGCACTTAAAATTTCACGATGATGAGAATTTCAGCGTGGAGGACCAAAATACGGAAAGAATTCTTTTAAGGGATACTTTCGACTTCCTCTTCTCCAATGCCTCTTCGCTTTCCATGGTTTCTGAGATGTTGCAGAGGCCCGAGAGAGCAGGAGCATTCGTGGTAAGCTTAAATATTCATGATTGCTAGCATTTGTCAGCTAGATGCTGGCAACCAGGGTTGAGTGTTTCAGAGTAGTGCTGATTTTTTTATGCTAGGCTAACACAATGGTTTTATACACTAAAAATTCTGTACAGGTTATCATAGTGTTATACTCCTTCATGCCTTTTTTTTTTTTTTTGAACCCCATATTTGGAGAATTTGGAAGAGGAGAATGTAAAAATTCTCACAAAGGTACTGACAGTGTCTGTCATATATGCCTCTTCCCAGAGTGTCGTTCAATCTCAGGGTCACACTAGGAAGAAAATAGATGCTGGAAAACCTGGGGTGGTAGGTGCGCTTGCAAGTCTATGAAACCTTCTGCCGGCAGTACTCTGAGCTGGGACTTCCTGCACAGATACTCTTTGGTATTTTCACCTCTAGAGCTCTGAAGGCCCGAGGGAAGTCTCGAATTCCCAAACCGTGGTCCTGCTTATTCTATCACCTGTACCCACCTCCCTGACCTCTCTACTAAGGCACAGTTGGCTTAGCTCAGACAGTCAGTCTTATCAGTTATTTTTATTTTTTTAATCTTGGGATATTGCTGTGACAACTAATCATTTCTATGTATCTTATAACTTTAATACGTTTAGCTGTTACAGAGTTTGAGCAATTTATTAAGTGGGGACGAGGAAAGATGATTTAACTGGGTCCTGGTTGCTGAAAGCTTTCTTTTACTCTTTCTTTCTTTTTTTTTTTTCTTTCTAGGATGGAAACTATCAAAAGGAGTTAAATCAGTGCCTGTCTTTAGAGGAAATTCACTCAATTAGGACTTTTGTAAAGGAGCTTGGGAGTTTGGGACAATTCCAACTGGTAAAACACAAGTGACATTTCTTTCCATTTGGTGACTGACATTGTGATATGAATAGATTAGCCATAAACTGCCCGATTTTTCCCTTCAAATCACATACAGATATTTCTTTACAACCCTTTTGTGAGCTATTTTTGTCCTTTTGGGAAAATGTCTATGCTTGGCTCTAAGAGTTTGCTAATAGTATGAAATTTACCAAAGGTAAAGGATATGACATCATAGTAGCTGACAGGTTGTCAAGGTTCTCTGGAGAAGATGCTGATATTTCTCTAAGGACTTTCATTTTTAGCTTTGGGTCATGTACAAGAAACCAATAGTTGTTACTTTGTATTACCCTTTTGAACAAAATTAAACATAACCTAACATAAGAGGACTTTTAAAATGGCCTAGTCTTAATTGGTAGTAACAATATTGCAAGAGTCCAATACTAGAGTATATGTGAGTGGTATACTCATAGCAGCTCTTACCAGTTTCAGTCTGTACAATGACATGTTTTTCTCACCCTGGTACTTTTAGCATGCTTATCAATTTATTGGTCAATATCAAAGCTTCAGTGATTGTATGACTGTCTATGTCTAATGTGTTTTCTTTCCTTTCTGCCACTAATGTAGACTATAGAATAAAATTAATTTGTATTTTACTTGACATTTCTTTGTATAAAACTACCTTAAAATAGTATTTAAAATTAATTGTCAAGTTACTAATTTGATGCAAGGTTCAGATATTCCTTGTAGTTTTTTTCAGCCTGTATACAAATATTACTTATGTGAGTCGTAACCAGTTGACCAAGCTAACTGATAAAAGACTGACGTATTTTATACAATTTAGCCCCATAGTATAAAGGACTGAGAGTAACCTTATAAGTCTAAGACAATGTAACAAATATACTTATTATCTTAATTAGTTTGCATGTATTAAATAACAATCTATCTCAGTGGTTTAGACACCCATTCAACCTGTAGAAATTCATCATTCAAAATACTGTGATGCTGATGGCCTCTGCTGGAACAGGAGAAGTAAAGAAACAAGGATAATCCTCAATTTCTTGACTCAGAGTAGAAACAAGATAACCAATTTCCTCTTTTTGTTAGATTCATAGTTCTCACCCTGGCTTAATTCGCTTGTAGCACTAAAGGACTTCTCTATTTCCCCACTGCCTGACTTCCTCGGTTACCAGGCTGTTTTCAAGTTTTGATTGCTGGAAAGGAGAGAGAGAGACCCATGTATAGTCACTGAAAAGCAAGGGGGAAAAAAAAGCGACTCCATTTAGAAATGTGATCATCAGTTACTTTCTTTCTTTTTTCTTTTTTTTTTTTTTTTGGTTTGGTTTTTCGAGACAGGGTTTCTCTGTGTTGCCCTGGCTGTCCTGGACTCACTCTGTAGACCAGGCTAGCCTCGAACTCTCGAACTCAGAAATCCGCCTGCCTCTGCCTCCCAAGTACTGGGATTAAAGGCATGCGCTCATCAGTTATTTTCATAATGCATTTAAAAGCAACCTTTAAAAGTCTTGAAAACAGTACCAAAATTTAAATTATAATAGTGACCAATAGATTCTCTCTGTCTCTTTCTGTCTCTGTCTCTGTCTCTCTCTCTCTCTGTGTGTGTGTGTGTGTGTGTGAGTGTGTGTGCATGTACAAGAGCAAGTGTATACCAGTAAGTATGTGGCGGTCAGGAGAGAACCTTAGCTGTCATTCCTCATGAACTGTCTGCCTTGTTTTCTGAGACAGTCTCTCATTAGCCCAGGATTCATCAACTAGGCTGGGCTGGCTGTTCAGTGAGCTCAGGGGGTCCGTGAGTCTCTGCCTCCCATACTGGATGCTGAATGAGGTCATGCTTGACTTTCTTGTAGCATCTGGAGATCTAACTGGGAGTCTTCCTGCTTTCATTGCAACGATATTATCCTCCCAACCCTTGACCAACAGGTTTTTAAATAAATAATTTCTTGACCAAACAATATCCAACTAACTATAATGAGTATCTGTAATACTACATTTCAAATTACTTTTCAAAGTTTCGACTGATCCTTTTTCTGTTTTGCTGATGTTTTCTTTGAACATTTCTTCTCAGCTCTTCCCGTCCACTCTTCCTGGGATTCAGTCTCTGATGGGTGAATTGTATGATATGGCAGCGCCTGGCTCAGTCCTGTCCCAGTACTGGTCTCTCTTAAATGTATTTGAACAATTTTGGCTCACGAATAAAAAGGCACAGCTACATCCACTGGAATGGTAAGAGAGCCACAAATTTGAATTGCGCAATCCAAGAAATCTTAAGTCTAAAAGATTGATTTCAAAAGGCTTTGCCTACATTAAAGTGAGCAACAAAAAAAGAAGTGTGCCCAAAAATTCATGGTCTGGAAAATAAATGACTTTCAAGCACTGAAACCATAATGGTTCTGGTGGTCATCAGACCCTGTAACAAAAAAAGACATCCAACAGTTCCAAAAGAAGATGGGACTCCATTACAAAGTAATGTTTAAAATTAAACATTCCAGTATCGTTTCACCTCGTGATCTGTACCTTTGGATTACTGAAGCATCTGCAAGATTAGACGGGGCTTGTGTTACGAACCATCCATCATCCTGGAGCTAGATACAGCAGGCACATTTATTTGGGAGTTAGAAAGCATGACTTTATTCTGAACAAAAACGTAATCTAATTTTATAAGTCTATACTGTGCTTTATTTGGTTTGCTTTTAGAGAGTTCTTTCCCCATCTTCTTGTCCGCTCTAATGAGAGGTAGCCATGAGGGGACAGACAGGTGAGATATTAATGCCTCTAGTAGCTGGCAAAGGGGATGCACTTAAAGTTTTGCTGTTCTTTAATATGGATAGAATTAAGAGAGCATTTGATTTTTCTACTGCCAGGAAAACAGAATTAGACCTAAGCCTCCCAGTGAGATGAAAGGCTAAGGGATATGACACTCATTTATGTCCCTTAGAGTCACTGTTGGGAATAGTTTCAGCAATGTTCCCTTATCCCTTATTTCCTTCTGTGTCAGGAGACAGTGACTATAAGAAACTCATTTGTAATTAAAAATACAAATAGTGTTGCATCTGAGGACTTCTTAGAACATCACCTACCGTTAACATTCACTTTGATTGCAAAAGCTCTGTAACGTTGGCTTTATTCACTCAATAAATCCAAAGAGGTTTTTCCTGTGTGCTTGAAAATTGTTTTAAATAATACAATGTAAAGCCACCTTTTTTACTTAGCCTTCACTCTAATCATCCAAGACTGCCTTGTGTATCAGTATAGATACACAAAGAACAGACGCCAACCTCCCACAGAGCCTGTTTGTGTTGTCTTTAATGTTCACTAAGTTCCCCCCAGAGATTTGCAAGCTTTAGAACATTTATTCCCTGTCGAGTTATCTCCAGAACCTCGTATAAGACCAGGTTCAACAATCCACTGATTAAAATGAGAAGACTGGATTTTCTTTCCTTAAAACAATGTAATAATGGTCACTGTTAAGTATAATTATAAAGGATAGCAACCATACTGAATCGCAGAAAATCGGATCAAAAGGTTCCAGCGTTAGAGCTTATTGATGATAGCAAGCAAAGAAAGTCCTTTAAGACTCAATTTCTTTACGTGTAATTATGACTTAGGCTGACTACCTTGTATTATTCCAGGAGTATTACGTAAGAAAGCTTCTGTGCATGTCACACTGAAGTGCAGATAGGTGATGAGAAGCAATGTATCTTCCCTTTTGTGTTCCTGTGCCACTCAGTGGCCATTTTAGCATTTGTGGTAAGGGCACATTTTCTTTATAGGAAAGCCATATATGTCCAAAAAATACCTTTCTGTATTAATATTGACAAGTCTATTTCTGATATTTATCAAAAGTTTTCATAATGCTCCTAGAAATGTCTCTTAAGTACTCAGCTTAAACTATCTTTACGGATTTAACAGTGAGTATGTCTATTTCATGATCATTCATGCTTTCTTACAGGGAGGACCATACTTCTCATGTAGATGTGAGGGAGAATAGATTCTAAAACAAATCAGCAGCTTAAGACATTAGGCTAAAGCTAATACTGGCATACTAACCTTCAGAACACACGTACAGAACAACTATTGTTCTGCAGTTTTCTTCAGCACTTGGATCTAATGACTTCATCCTTCCTTAGAAATACAGAGAGACCATTTGCTTGTATCACAGCAATGGGGTAAGAAAACGGAATCGGAACATCAGCAGCAGTGGGTAACATTATACATGAGAGCCAAGGCTCAATCTAAGGGGTAGGGGAGACTACCTTAATTTTCAACGCTCCTGGAAATAAAGTAGCATGTGGACTTTGCTCTGTGGAAATGTTTTCTGAGAAAATACATACAAATTCAAAATGATCTATTCACACACACACACACACAAAAAAAAATCCAACAAAGAACTGCACAATGCTTTTGTGTACAAGTTCTCACTCCAGAGCCAGACTCTATTCATGTGAATTTCAGGGATGAATCTGTTGAATGAGTCTCCTAGAAGTCCTTCTTCATGGCAGATTCTTACATTTTTGTCTTTAATTTAGACTTCAGCTAGATTTATCTCCTTTATCAGAGTGATTTTGATTGTGTAGAAAGCCCTGGGTTGGATCGCCATCGTTACAAAAATAAAGGTAACCAAAGGTAACTACTGAAAATCTCACCACCGTCAAAAACTTCCTCTCTCCTGCTAGGAACCCTTTATCTGTTATTCCATCCCTTGGAAGGAATCACTGCATTTTTACCTCCATTTTGATGTGTACACCAAAGGAAAGCAGACTTTAGGCAATGATAAAAATACTAGTTAGAAGTCAGCAAAATCGCTTTAATGCCTAGGGGTTTTTTTGTTGTTGTTGTTGTTTGTTTTTTTAAGACTTCCTGCCTGCTGCTGCTGAGATTCCTCGCTGCCATGCTCAGCACAGTTTCTGGCACTAGCATTTTATCTGATTCTCACGGTGTTCCTGTGTAGAGCAAATGCTATTTACTATCTCCATTTTAATGGGGTGACAGACAGCAAAGCATCATAATAACACAGGAAAGACACGTCAAGGGCTAGAGACCACAGTGCCCAGTGTTCTCTATTATCCAGACTAGACACATTTCTGACTGCCGTTTAGGTTATTTTAGTTCCAGTTTTAAGGACTTAGAGGTTCATCCAGCTGAGCATTTGGTTACTACTACAACACAGAAAACGAAGTGATCGTGCCAAGATATAAACAACCTTTGCTGTCTCTGTGGGTTACCAGGGAGGGTAAGAACACACGCTTTGGCAACTCCAGTTGTTTCCTATAGCCACGCCTGTTTCTTTAATTTTGTGTACATTCTCAGGCTATGCCTCAGGACTTCCAAGGCTCTTGGCTTCAAAGTTATGGAATGTTAGGCAGAGATCCCAGTGAAAATGTGCATTTTTGAATCACCTCTGTTGGATCCAGGCTTTCTGAGGTTTCTCAGCTTGTTTTCTTCAACTATGCATTTACTGATTAGAGATAAGATCGCAACCACCTCACTGGAGGCTAGAAAGGGTGTTGTAGAATGAAATCTACCATTTCTTGTCTTTGCCGAATAACTGCACTCACCTAAGACTAGAGAGTGTGTCACCTTGTTGACTTGGACTTGCTTGGTACTGTATTTACAGGAATTCTCCAACAAGAAATGAGACCGTTGAGAAACCGCACGGGTCATTGGAAGCAATCAAAAGTAAAAAAGGTAAAATGCATATAGTCCCACCTATCACAGCATAACGGAAAGTAGCATCTGGTGTATTTAAAGTGTTTAAATCTATTAGCCATCAAAACCAAAAATTAAACGAGGAAGTAATAGTTTTCTCCTGAAAATTGGACTTTTCTTCATATAGAGAGAGGTAGAGTGAGGAGAAATAAGCATTCTCATAACGATGGTAAACGTTTACATTAGAGCACATGTTTAGGGGCCACATGATAGCTTAGGAAGTACAGGTTAAAAGTTACCCTTGGAGCCTTAGCACTCGGCACTAGAACACATGCTTGGTAAGGACGCTAGTCTCACTCCTTAATGCACAGGAATAGATTATTCAGTTAAATAAAATGTATCCTTTCAGAGCAGAAATCCTACTGCTAAATATTTGTTTACGAGCATGATCAAGAATATGCGTAGTTCTCGAACTAGAGCCCTTCAAACTCAGTGACGGGCCTTAAACCAAAATTCTGCTTAGAAGATTCAATGCGTCCCTCCCCTCCCCCGCAAAAGAATCACACAGTATTAGACGAATTCCTGGTTATAACAGGGATTCTTTAGTTAAAAGAAATAGGTATACTGATGGATCATTTTTCCTTAATATTTTTTTTCTTGTATGACAAAAATTAGATGTTTTTTACTCTTCCCTCAAACGTTACATCCTGATTTCTGTTTCTCCTTCTGCAGACTACCCCCTCAACACACACCTCCCCTCTCCCCGAGATCCACCCCCATTCCACTTCCCCACAGAAAAGAGCAGGCCTCCCAGGAACATCGAGCAAACTTGGCATAACACGCTACAGTGAGAACAGGCATGTGCCCTCACATCAAGGCTGATGAGGCAACCCAGTAGGAGAAGGGTCCCACACGCAGGCAAAAGAGTCAGAGACAGCCCGTGCTCCCACTGTTAGGAATCTCACAAGAACACCAAGCTACTCAGCCGTAATGTGTATGCAGTGGACCTAGGTCAGACCCCTATAGGCTCCCTAATGTCTTGAAGCCCCCCTTAATCCCTGTCAGTTGATTCTGTGGCCGTGTTCTTGTCCTGTCCCTGATCCATCTGGTTCCTTCCATTTATTCCATTCTTCCTCTACTAGAAGAGAGAGCTCCTCTTTGTGTTTGCCTGTGGGACCACTGTAGCTGCTCCCATCAGTTCCCGGATGAAGTCTCTCTGGCCTTTTTGATGTCAATTCAGCTACTCTCTGGCCCCAGAACACTGCAGGCAGGACAAACTGTAGGTGGAATGTGTTATGCCTGAATTGATATTCCAATCCCTTCGCTTAAGATCCAGCTCAGTTACAGAGGACGGCCAGCTGGGGATCTGTGCCCCCCATTGCTAGGAGTTTTTGCTGGGGTTACTATTATAGATTCTATTGCACTGGGTCTCTACCTCAGAGCAAAAGGATTTCCTGATTTCTACCCAGGGGAAATCCCTCCCCCGACCCCTGCCCATTCCGAGTTGTTTCTCCCAGTAATCCCTCCCCCTCCCACCTGAACCCTTCTGTTCCCAACTCCACCCGTCTCCATTCCACCAGTGAAATCTATTCTTATTTCCCTGTCCAGGGAGATCCTTGGTCCAGTCCAATACTTTGGTTCTCTGTGGTGCTGCACGCCTTTCTTCTGTCACTGCCTTTTTTCTTTTTAAATGAATACTTTAAAGCACCTTGAACGCTTATGCATTCATTTGTCCATAAATATTTGCTAGAACATTTTAGATGGATTTTTAGTTTTCCAGATACTTGAAAAAAAAAACAGCTAGAATGTCTTCACTCGACAATTTAGAATATTATAGCATACGACCACAGAGCTAGAAGAAAATGTAATAGTTTACCTTTAGGGTAAAGATGTTTCTGCAGTATTGTCCAACTTGAAGTAATTTCTTGTTTGCGCTTTGAAAGCAATAGCTGGATGAATGTATTGTAGTGGTCAGCTTTACTTAGAAATGCATGGTGAGGGGTGGAGCAATGGCCAGTTCAGTGCTTGCTTTTTGTATGTGAGTACCTGCGTTGCATCTCTAGAATGCAAGCAAAACTCTGGGTATGTTGCTACAGTAAGTAACCTCAGAGCTTGGAAGTGGGGTGGCAGGGATAGAGACAAGCAGATCTTTGGCCTTTGCTGGGTAGCCAGACTAACTCATCAGTGAACTCCAGATTCAGAGAAAGAGGGAGGGATAGAGGGAGGGAGGGAGGAAGGGAGGGAGGGAGGGAAGGAGCGAGGGAGGGAGGGAGGGAAGGAGGGAGGGAGGGAAAGAAACAGAGCCACAGAGGCAGAGAGACAGAGATGGAGAAATGGAGATAGAGAGACAGAGAGAGAGACATAGACAAAGACATACAGCAACAGAATCAGAAAGACAGAGTGATAGAACAGAGACACACACACACAGAGAGATAATTATTTAGTGAAATCCGTAATTTTTACATTGAATTCAAAGTTTTATTTTTAAAGTTAGTATTTCCTTTATTATTTTAGATGCAGTTCCACGAGTTTTGTATGAAAATAAAGATATACATTGCAGTGACGGTGAGTTGACATTAAAGTGTTTCCATAGTATAGCCCAAAGTTTAGATAGCACCCAACCTTGAAAAACTATAAATGTTTTATCCTATTCAGATGTCTTTAGTCTGCTAGTTTCTTTCAGGTCAATACTGAGAAGTTTCATTTCTGGTTAAGTTCACATTTATCCCTTCTCCATGAACAAAGCATTTCATTTTTATGTATCCTGTTTTATAGTTTAAAATATTATGTGTATATATGTTGTCTTATGACAATGACTTCTAGACTCATTTTCAGGGGCCCAAGGAATCTTAAGGCTTTACATTAGGGGTGGAATTTGGTTTATCCATCCATCTTCTGAAGGCTCACTATTCTGAAGTAAATTTTTTTTCTTCCTATGCAATTGCTGTAGTGGAAAGTATTTGAAAAGAACTCTCTTCAAACCAACAGAGAACTTCAAACTCAATTTTCAGTTTATTTTCATACGACATCATGATTTTAACTACACATAATAAAACTATATGTGCAATTTAGTTTATGTAGAACTTAAATTTAAAAATTATTTTGTTCATCCGGTTTGATCTACTTACAGAAGTTTTGTACACATGTCATTTTTTAGTGAGTTCTGTTGACTTTCAAGATCATTTGGCTATTTGCGTTATGGCCTTCAGATTCTGCCTAAGCTCCTAAATGCTCTTTTGAAAATATTCTTATTTATTTTACATGTATGGGTGTTTTGTATGAATGCATTTCTGTGCACTCCTAGAGGGTATGAGGCTTGAGGAGGCCAGAAGAGAGTCTCAGGTCCCCTCTTCTCTTCATGACTCAGGGAATCAAAATTACAAAGGGTTGTGAGTCACCATGTAGGCTCTAGGAAATGAACCTGGGTCCTCTTGAAGAGCAGTCAGTATAGTGCTTTTAACCACTGAGCCAATTCTCCAGACTCCTGAAATTTCTTAATATTTTATATTAGTAAAGAATTAAGAGTTCTCTATTCTGGGTTTTTGTAAATAATATATACTTCTTAAAAATAAATTCACATCTATGAATCCTTATACTTTTTGCTAAAATGTGCATTTAGCAAACTTGTCTTCTGGGCAATGCCTTTAACCGAGAACTCAGGCAGAGGCGTGCAGATCTCTGAATTTGAGGCCAGCCTAGTCTATATAGTTCTAGGGCAGCCAGGACTACAAAGAGAAAGAAACAATATCTCAAAAAAAAATGCAAAAGGAAAAGAAAGAGAAAGAACAAAAGGAAGGAAGGGAGGGAAGAAGAGAGGGAGGGAAAGAAGAACACTTGTCTTGGAATGTATAGATGTATAAACTTAGGCTTAATTTTTTATAAATAAAAGTTATAATTTAATACTATTCAATTTTTTGCATTCTAAATACTGGTATTTATTCAACCGTTTAAAACAACCATATCAAATATCATGCTAGATTGAGTAGAATTAGTGTTTAATGAAATTTAAAAAAAAAAAAGAAAAAGTGTCTTCAGTTAAAGTCTGAAAGCTTTTCAAGTATTGACGAGTTTACCAGGGAAAAGAGAGTTCGTGTCCCCACCTCGACCCCCAACTACTGATCACATAAGTCCTGGTCACATAAGACCTGGTTATTTCTCCAGGGTCACTGCTGTTTGGTATATGACTTAAAAACAAAAACTCAGCTCAATGAGAGAAGTAGAAGAGTTGGCAGTAGTAGTATTTTTAAGGGTGTATCCAGGGGGAGAAGGCTCAGGCCTAAATGCAACTTGGAAAAGCTTGCATCTCTTTGGGTTTCCGGATCCTGCACTGGATGATCTCATGGCTTTCGGTTCCCAGGCAACGCGTCACAGATGCCGGGCACATTGTCAGAAAATCTCTTCAACTTTGCTCAAGTTGTTTGTTCCCTGATTAAAAATTCATCCTATCTGGATCTTCACAATTAATCTCCCCGGTTTTATGGTCTGATATATTATTTAAAAATACACTGGTGACGCTTCTGCCCAGGTGGGGTTATCTTTAAGTGTATAAGCTTTTTCTGTGTTCAGGATGAGTTACGATGATCCATCAAGGGAGCAATAAAATCCCATAGTTAAAAGAAAGCCGTTAAAAACAACCAAACCGTCAAACAACTTTCCCACGTGTGCTTGCCAAATAGGTTAGGCAGCCTGCTACCACCATTCCTTATGCTGGGTTCTCCATAGATCTAAGGTAATCTGGCTCGAGACAAGTTAGAACTGGACTGGGAGAGACGCCAAGGACACACCAGGTGTTTACAGGCAGCAACCTTCATTCAGTTGTAATGATGTCAGAGATAAATCAATTTTCAAGTAAGGGTCCAGGATGCAGCACCCAACACAGAGGTGGAAAGTTTGGTGGGGGGTCTTGCTAAAATCTTGCTTAAGGAAGTAACTGCCTATTTATTTCATCTCATGTGTAGGTAGGTTCAATTTATAAGAAGTATAAATCACTCTTTGAAAACAGTGACTACTCCGTTGAAATATAAAACGAAAGATAAATAGTTAAAACCAAAAGGAAATTAATACTCAGTGAATTGTTATAAAAATATATTCTTAGTTTGTAGAGGTGATGCATGCCAGTAATCCCAGAACTGGGAAGGCCGAGGCCAGAAGATGACAAGTTCAAGGCCAGAGTGGGATGTATGGGAAGACTTTGTGTCAAATGAAATAAATGAAATATATAAACATAGAAAGAAAGGCTAATAAGTTAAAATCCACTGTCTGTGATTCATGTTGATAGAACAATTTACTGCTTTGCTATTCATTCAAGTGGTTCTGAGCACAAAAGTGGATTTATACTCCCTTCGTGCCTGGGCAGCTCAGCCCTTCCTAACTGGTGCTGATCACAGCTCCTGTTTGTTTAGTATTATGCTGGGGTCAAAGCGTTCTTTTGGATCAAATCCCATGACTATTCACCTCCTGTTTTCACTCTGCTTTTCTCCATTCCTTGAACAGAGGCCATGCTGTGGCTGGAGTAGGTGGGATTTTGATTTCAAAAATCAATACCCTATTAAGAAGCAGTTAAATTTGAATTAAAGCAATGACTATTTTCAGTGTGAGTTATAATACTCTGTACTTATGTTCTTGCAAATCAAACTGAGACAGATTATTAATATTGTAGATATTATAGATGAAATATATATGTATATATATGGTAAAATATATAAAATATATAAAAGATAAAAATCTTTCATTGATTTGTTCTTTTCAGATGCCAAGTAAAATTAAGCACTTTGCTTAAATCATCAAGAGATTCAACAAAATTGATTTGTTGGGTTTTTTAAATAAGACGTTCCTGCAAACTAAAATTGCACTGTATTTATGATACCATTGTGCTCTTAACTTATACTTGATGAATGGCTTTTCTCCCACAGGCAAAGAAACCCGTAGAATGGGAGACGGAAATGCACATATTAACTTTCATTGTTTAGAGCACTCAGGTAGCTATTTGGAGACATAGGTCTCAGAACTGGAGGACAACAGGTAGCAATTGATTTAAACTGAATGAAGAAGCTTCTTTATATCCTTCAAAGTCCAGGACATGATAGCAGAATCAACGGACAGCAAAGCAATGAGGAACCTGTGGAACGCCTGTCCCCTGCTTTAGTTTGTCTCTGGAAAGGATAAGGAACCACTAGAATTGGAAAACAAACCATCAGATTTGATTTTAGAGAAACCATTGTGATAACCATATAAAAGGAGAGAGACAGACAGGGCCAGAACACTGTCTTTTCACTAACGTCAGTTCTGTCCCTTCTGGTATGGAACTCGGTTGTACCTTTTCTTGCTATACTAGTCAATATCACTGGATCCCAAGTGGTGCTAGGACGCCTTCTCTTTGCTGATTTCAGGAGCACTTTCTATACTTCCATTTGCTCAAGTTTTGTTGACTGTTGTAAAGAATAGGTAATACTTGTTGATATTGAAAACCGTTTTTTATAAACTCTTGGGCACTTGTCCATTCCAAATATTGTTAGATGTAACCTAACAGGGGCTGCTCTGCTCCGTGTGTATGCACAGCTAAAGCTGTTTTTCTTTTCTTGTACCAAGACAGTGTTTGCTATAAAATGATGTGCCAAAGGAGGATTTCTATTCAATGGCGTGAAGTCATTGAATAGATTCGAGAACAAGTTTGAACTCATATGGCAGTTCCTCTTTCTAACTTTCTGATATTTTTCCCTGTTGAGGTGGCTTGGGGAGGAATTTCAGGATGTTCTATGGATATTTTGACTTCTGTATGTGGCATGATACCAAAGGTCATATTCTTTCTGCCCTACTACTCCTCTATCAACTAATGGCAGTTTAAGGACATTTTCCATTAAGAACGTTTCCTGATTACCTGCTAGCTTCCTTCTGTCGCTGTCACATAGAGTTGTTGTCTCCATTTGCATAATTAACTGAGATGTCATACATCTTATAAGAATGTTATCATTGCACAGGAGGGACATTTTTCCCCTATCTTCTGTACTTTTTATCCTTTCAAGGACTAGGAAACAAATACTGTTTGTACTAAACCAAATAAAGTGAACAGCTAATCTGGGGAGGCTCCTCATAGCTGACAAGTTAGAAATCAAATCAGTTGTGCCTGGCTCCTGAGTGGATAGCTATTGATCCCTGAAACTGTACACAAGTGTAGGAGGGGAAACACCTCAATCACATGCAGTTTTAGAATCTATATGCAGTTCACCGTTGCAGTTCACAGTTGCCTTTGTCTTTCTTTCTGTCTTTGTAATAGAGGAAGACACACTCTGCCATATCAAGAAGATCTTCACCCATCCCCATTTAGAACTCAGCCCTGAGTTTAATCCGAAGATCAAAGATTATTACTGTGAAGTTCCATTTGATGTGCTAACTGTGAGGATTGGAGCAGAGACTTCTAAGTGTCAATGCAAGGTGCACCTGCAGGAGCAGGCCGGGCCAAGGTATGGACTGTGTAGGGCGTGTGTCCAGGGATGACTTGATCTTTCACCAGGAAGCAGATGTCTTATCCCGCCTTTAATAGTATGGTTCAGCTTTTCTAAAAAAAGAAGCATAGTGGTATGAAATCTTTCCTTTTCCAGGCTTCATGTGTTAGAGAACAAACTGGTTCTCAACCGACCTACAAACTTCCCTTTTACCCTAAGCCAACTTCTCCAGTCTGATCAGCCAGAGATGAACATGTGTGGGTATCGTGATGCCAACTTTCCTCATCTTATAGGATTTGCTTATTTATTTATTGCTATTTTGTATAGATATTTTTTAAAAGGCCCCAACCTTTTTGTTTGAAAAATTGAACAGGAATAGAACCTCATTTGCATTCAGTGTCTTCAGAGAGGAGGATACAGTTGCATGTTGAAGGGGAACAAATGTGCTTGGCATTGATGACAGTCTATTTAGTATAGAGAAAAGAGGATCTGGGCTCAGTGGCTACCTCTGTTAGTAGAGTGCTTGCCTAGCATACACAAAATCTCCGGTTCGATACTCACTTGGAGGTCGGCCTGGGATATATGAGAACATATGTTAAAAGAGGGAAGAAATGAAGATGTGGGGAGGGAAGGAAAGAAAGAAGAAAAAATGAAATAAGATAGAGAAAGGAAAAAAGGATTCTTGTCACTCCAGTCTGGGTCCTACCGTGGCTCTACCATGTAATTTGAGGCAATTTGATAACAATTCCTTTTAATAGTCTCTATGTTTATAATAAGGCTAATCTTGGTTTTGTATAGAGGCATTGTATTAGAACTAAAGTCTGATTCTGACAGGTGGTTAATAAAGACTAGTTTCTTTCCCTTCAGTTAATGAAGAACATGACTTGTCTTGGAAGATTACTCCCCTCCCCTCCCAGCATAGCAAAGAAGCAGGAAAAGGAGATTTCATTTTTTATATTTCATATTTCTTGTAAAATTATGCAGACCGTATATGTTTTAAGCAAGTGAGCACCATTATAATGATAAATAGTAACATCAAAAGCAGCAGCAGCAACAACAATAATAATAATTAATTCTGATGTCTGAATTTGTTTGGGCTAAATAATTGTCTCCATGCATATTAATTCTCATCCATCTCTCTTACTCCGTCTCCTCCCACGACCCACCCTCAGCATTGCCAACTATCCTCTGGGATTAGGAATGAACAGAATCTCCATGCTTGTGGTGGATGAATCTCGAGCAGAGGGTGATACCCTAACCATGTATAAACTCACCATCTATAGAGAAGACCGCCCGAGTCTGCCCTTCTTCGAGGACTTCACAGCGTGTGGCTTTGTACAAGTGAGTGAGTTTTGCATTTTATTTGTGTTGAATTGGAACTGACTGGTTAACCTATGTGAGAAATGCCAAGTGAAACTGTCACCTGCAGCCTTGTGCGTCTCTCAGCTGTGATCTCTGCAGCAAAGTCTACGTCATCTGCAACCTGCACTCTGGGGTTTCTTCTCAGTGTGGTCTGCGCTCACTGGGCTTAAGGGATTTATCATGGTTGCCATTTAAAATTGTCCAGCAGCAGCAGCTATGGATTTGATTTTATACTGCCCATTTAGATTTTCTTGTTTTTCTTGGATTTGTCCCTGGATCTCCTTTAGACATTTTAAACTGGATCTAGTACAATTTATTGCAGAAAGGGGGAGGGAGAGGGAGAAGGAGAGGGAAAGAGAGAGGGAGGAGAGAGAGAGATTATAGAACTTTCAATAGCAAGTATACTAAATAAATGAAATTTGCTTGGCATAGATGTATATCTCATTCATGCCTCAGGCCTGAGTCACTTCTCAAGACTTCGGCTTCTTTTTTGAGAAACACACTCCGTTTTCTAGCCTTATTGGTTTGGGCAGAGGGTGACTACTACCATCTGCCTTTGTCTTTTTGTCAGCTCTCTCTTGATTTCCTTTAAAGAACTATAGTACACCCATAACCCTTGACATTTTCTCATAGCATGCACATACCCTCAGTACAGATGACACCAAGGAAACAGCAATTAGAACTTTGATCATATATCTCCTAATCCAGTCAGAAAGTATCATCACAAGTATAGGCTATCCAAAGAATGAATGTGCTTGCTGCCAGCAGCTTTGCAATAGAAAAGATTAAACAGGGATATGACCCACTGCATTTTGGTCGGTGCTAAGGACCCTGTGACTGTTGATAATCTATGGCCAAACACCACAATCCTTCTCCTCCCCCATTACACTTCACACACATCTCTTACCAAGAGCTTACCATTCCGTAAGGTTATTCGTTCCTTCCATTTTAATTTTCTAAGGTAATCCCAAGCCTGGGAATTCTCACGAAATCAGAGGGAAACCAAGCGATGCTTTAGAAGTCTCCATCTATTTTAGTTTAGAAAGACACTGTCCTTCTCTGAGAGTCTTTCTCTCCTTAATACCTGTGGATCATATGTATGGTAAAACTTGTATTTTATTATTTTTAATTTATTTCTTTAATTTAAATTTTATTTCATCCAATATATTTTGATCATGTCTTCCCTATCCAATATTTTCTTTATTCGTTCCATTAAAAAAGAAGCCAGACATGTAATGTCACCCTGTGTCGCATTAATATGACATTTAGAGCAGGTAAAGGTAACTTATGAGAATAGAGACCAGAACAGTGGTTCTCTGGAAGATGTCAATGCCACTAAAAATAAAGGGACACTTTGAGAAAATGTCCTATATCTTAATCTGGGTGATGGCCACTTATATGAACATATGGTGTATAAACATGAAAACTGTGTGCTTAAAACTTATATAATTTACTGTATGCTACCTATGTAACACAGAAAGTACGTATGAAATGGTTGGACAAATTTGCATCTAAATTTTGCTTCAGTAAAATAAGAAAAATAATGTTAGAAGGAAAGTTTGTAATGTTATCTTCCAAGACATGGTTCACCTCTCAAATACAATACTGATCAGAAACAAGTTAATTATCATGCAATAATTACCTCAGAGAATAGATTGGTCTTATTACCATAATGTGAAAAATTATCTGAAAATTCTTGTGGGATGAATCTCACAGGCAATTGCAGGAAAGTATTTCAGTTATGTATGGATCCTTTCCAGAAGTTCCTAGTTCTGAAAGTTTGTGTGGTCCTTCAGTAAGTACTATATTTTATAACACAGAAAGTGTTTAATAGTATCTTTTTTTTTTTAGCCTTTCATTTATAAAAACTTCTCAAGTGTGTGAGCAGAAAGAGTGTGGTGTGAATAATGTAGCTTACTGCCAATCTTTAGCTAGGCATGAGCCGCCGGATGAAAGGCAGAAGTCCAGGGTGGGTTGGCTTCTCAGGGGCTCCACCTCAAATGAGACCCAGAATGCCCTCTATGCTAATTAGCTTTCTCACTGCTGTTACAAAATATGTGACAAAAGCAAGTTGGAGAAGAAAGAACTCACTTTAGCTCCACCAGCACAGCCAGGAAGGCATGGCAGCAGGAGCGTGGGGCAATTGCTCGTACTTCCTTTAGGGTCAGGAATCAGACATAAATGCTCAGCCCAACTTCTACTTCTATTCAGCACAGGACCCTAGCTGTGGATGGTGCCGCCGGCATTTGAACTGGGCCTTCTCTTCTCAGTTCAACCACTTTAGAAAAAGCCCTCGTATGCAATGCTTGGGAAACACTTTGCACATAAATCCAAAGAATCTAGCAAAATTGACTGTGAAGATTACTGCTTAGTCACTTAGTAGCATCAAGGGCTTTGGTCTCAGTGTTGATAACAGGGCAAAGGTTTTAATGCAAAGTAAGCAGGGGGCATGGAGTTTCTCATCACCAATTCTCAGTCACGTGAGAATTTTAGAATTAAACTCAGCAAAGTACACATATACTGCAAAATTTAAAATGTTTTCATCTTCCAAACTTTTTCCCCTTTGCTGCTACTTTATTGTTAAGAGTAAAGTCCATGCCACACTCTTGCAAATTATCAGAGAGACTGTTTATTTGAGCTCCTAAAATATACGTGCAAGCCTAGGTGGGAAGAGATTAAATATTAATCACACTTTATTTTCTGGTAAAAGGAGAAATTGCAACTTCTCCCTCTGTTTCAAATTAGATTTTGGTTTCGTAGACTCTATGACCGGCTTTAAATTAGCACCTTAGTCCATTTGTGTTGTTATAACATACTGCCTGTAGCTGAGTAACTTAAAAGAACAGAAGATTATTTCTCACAGTTCTGGAGGCTGAGAAACACAAGATTAGGTCTTTGGACCTTTAACTGCCAAGGCCTTCTCGATAATCCAGTTGTAGTAGAGGCCAAAAGGACACACGCTGTGTGCTGTATTCCATATGTAGAGGGGCCAAAAATCAAGATAAGACCCTTAGCTAGTTTCCTCCAAGGTGTTCAAAAGGCACTAACAGGTGCCAGCCCTCTTATAAGAACTAAGGAACTGCCTTCGTGACTTAATCATATCCTAAAAAGTTTCACCTCATAATTCTCCTTCAGTGTAGTTGTTTTAACACATGGGTTTTGAGAAAGGTATTTCATTCCATAGCAAACACAGAAAGCATCCCACTTTCAAACAACCAAAGCAGAATAATTCAATTTGGATGCTATCAAGCCCCTCCCCCATTTCTCTTCCTTCTGTTCTTCCGTCTGGGAGTCAACTATTCACAATACTGTTTCACCAGAAGTTTAACAGGGAAGAGAAAACGGATTTATAAAGCAAAGCACTCAATTAAAAGCCAGTTACCATGGTATTCTGGTAAATGATAAGATCTTTAAATGATAAGCCATTTTTTTATCCTTTATATGTCTAAGCATTACTAACTATGTACTTGACCATAATAAACTATTTGAAATCATGTGCTATCTTTATTTCAATTATGATTTTGACAATTTAAAATTGTATATGGCTGCCCCAAAGGGGTTTTAGTCCCCTAAACCTATGGTTGTAGGTAAGATGGAAAACTTTTTTATAATTGAAATAAACAATTACATTAGAACCACTCTCTCTCTACCCCAGTGCCACTGACTTTTGGTCCAGGATAATACAAGGAATGTTATCTAAACATTATTGTAGACCCTTTTGAAAGTAGTGACAATGTATGGCCCCCAGATATAGCCAGTGTCTCCCATGGCACAGCATCAGCACCAGTGAAAAGTCATCCACTTAAAGCAGTAACCATTGTTCCTCGTATAATAACATGGTGTTAAACGAGCATGGATGGCTTACAGGTATTCCTTAAGGGCTCTGTGCTGGAGATTCATTCTTCCATTTTATCATCCTTACATTTTAATTAATTCTAGTCCTGCTCATTGTCCAGCCATCTTTTCTAATGTAATCACTACAATCATACGTGTGCATTCAATTACAGAAAGCATGTTCTTAAGGAAACCTAAAACCATCATGTGACTGACACACAATATTATTGCACTGAGATTTATCCATCAATATATGAGGCTTACTGCTAAGAAGAAAGATTTAGAAAGTAATAAATAAACTGTTACTATGGTTAAAAAAAATGTCATGTTTAGGAAATAATAAAATATATTTATGTTCTAAGGAAATTGAAAAACATATGGAGAAATATTTATTTTACTACCTGTTTCCAAATCTAATTCTTGATGTGGATAACAGTAACTACACAGAAATTGACTTATGTACTTGATCTACAGTCTAGTGCACATTGTGCTCCCAAAGCATTGTGTCGGGAGAAAGCCATAAATAAGATCTACAAGAAAGTCACACAGCAGAAGCCTAGAGGACTGAGTGCCACAGATGTATTTGCTAGAACCGTTTTTATCTTAAAATGTATTATTATACACAAAGGAAAAATCCTGAGGAAAGAAGAAATAGTATTTGAAAAGATGTTCAGCTTTATCTATACATTTTGTTAACTGGCATATGTCACTTTACAAAAATAGAAATTAGCCACTTAGATGCTTAGTCACTAAGTTCTATGCAAATGACTCCAGTTCATTGTAAATGCTTTATAATTCATTTATTCTTTCACCTTTCCCAGCAGCACCAAGAAGTACAGTCAGTTGGCTCAAGGAGATGTTTGTGTAAAGTCTTAGCAAAAAGTGATAACAGAATAGGGATGTATTCATTGAAAATTATTGATGAAACACCAATGTCATCACTCAACTAGTCCACTGAGTGATAACATCCATTTGTTGTCTCGCCTGCTTCAGCTTACCAGTTTTCCCACAAAGGCATCTATTGCGCTGTGACTGTGCCGTGCTCTCAACTAGTAATGAGTTCAAGGTGCCTTCTCTGCCCTAAGTTCTGCTCATAACACTGTGTGCCGGAGGGGAGTCGGCAAGTGCAAAGGGGCAGGCTTGCA